GTGATCACTGCCATCATCGCTACCATTAAATTACTCATTGTGACTGGTTGTCCCGCTTTCCTCAGGTTTTCTTCTGCCATATGTGACAGCTTCTTGATCTGTCCACAGGTAGGTGGCTGTGTTCAATGGGTGGTGCTTGTGACAATTGAGGTCCTCCTCAGCATCAACCTCAACATGGCTGCAACCAGGGGGTCCTTGGGATCCTCCTGGAATCTCTTCCTTGGCATCTGGCTCATGATAAGGTTTCAGGTGTCTTGATAGTATCCAAATTGGCTGTTGATTCGGTCCTGGAGAAACACAAGCATAACCTGTACCCCAAGTTATTATTTTACCTACTTCCCAACTTTTTGTTATTGGATCTCTCCACCAAATCAGTTCTTCTGCTTCTGTCTTTGCAGCTGTTTTCTGTAGATGCTGTTCAACTGCTGATAACATCTGGCCTTTGGGGAGGCTCAAAAAATTTAAAGTTAATAATGCTAGATTCAGTTGTGTATGGGCTGTCCCATAATCCCTATTTCTCCCCCTTTTTTGTTTTTGTCATCAGCTGTTCATCTATATGAAATTGTAACTAAGCATTTTCAATGAACTGTGTGGAATGAACCATGTATGATGAATCAGAAATTATATTAATAGACATATCAAAAGCAGTCAATACCTCAATTACAGCTACAAGCTCCGCTTTTTGAGCTGAAGTACAGAGCATCTGGAAAACTTTACCTTTTGATCCAGAATAAGAAGCTTTACCATTACTAGACCCATCTGTGAAACAATGAAAATGTTTAGCAGGCTGCAGGTTGTTTACTGCAGGAATTGTAAATGCAAACCATTCATAGTCTTGCTTAGCTACGGGGATAGTAAAGAAACAGTCTTTTAAATCTATGACTATTGAAGGCCAATTTTAAGTCCTCTAGAGCCTTCAGTTTCTTTTTACTCTTTTTACTCAATTCTAACCAAATTGGCTTATCTGTTAACCATTTTAAAGGTATAGGTTCTGGAGGTTTAACAATGGCCGCCATCAAAAATGATATCCTAAACCCTGGTGGGAACTTTGTCTTTCCATTTGAAGTGGTTTTTTCAAACCTTGCAATTTTTTTCCTAGTCCCATACTAGGGACAAACTCCATTTCATGCATCATATGTTGATTCTGAGGGCTATATAATTGTTCTGGAATTAGAACTTGTGCTCCCCATTGTTGCAATAAATCTCTTCCCCATAAATTTATAGGTACAGAAGTTATAATTGGTTGAATAGTCCCAGGTTGTCCATTGGGCCCTTCACAATGCAAAATATAACTACTTTGATATACTTCAGGGGCTTTACCAACTCCAACTATGTTAAATTGAGTGGGTTGAATTAGCCACGTGGATTGCCAGTGCTGTAGAGAAATGATTGAAATGTCCACTCCTGTATCTACCAAACCTTTAAATTTCTTTCCCTGAATAGTTATTTCACAGGTAGGACATTTATCAGTAATTTGATTTACCCAATAAGCTGTTTTGCCTTGTTTATTTGTGCTTTCAAATTCTCCTGTTTGTTTAATTTCACTTTTCCCCATTTTCACATACGACACAACCAGGAGCAGTGCTATGCGCTCTCCTAGCTCTGCTTTCCAGGAACAGAAGTAGATATAACAATTTGGATTTACCCATTGTAATCTGAATCAATGACTCCTGTATGTATTTGTACCCCTTTTAAATTTAAACTAGACCTTCCTATAATTAATCCTGTCGTCCCTGCTGGCAAGGATCCACAGACTCCTGTAGGGACCTTTTGTGGGGGTTCCCCAGGCAGAAGGCTCACAGCTTTGGGGCAACATAAATCTACTGCAGCACTACCAGCTGTGGCGGGGGACAGACATTATACAGACATTATACAGGGGTGAGGGAATGGTCTGAGCCAGAAATGCCCCGGTTTGGAATAGGGCCTGTGACGGGCCCCTCATGGCATTTCCCGAAATCAGGTTCCCATCTTTATCAAACTCAGAGTGACACTGATTAGTCCAATGTTTTCCTTTTTTACAATTTGGACTTATTTCAGGCTCAGCAGTTTTCTTTTTTCCCCTGTCTGGTGACCTGACTTGCTAATTTTTTTCTATATTCTTTTTTAGTATGACCTTGCTTCTCACAGTTAAAACAAGCTCCAGGAAATGGAGTATTTCCTTTATCTACTCTCAGTCCTGCCATTGCCTGTGCCAACAAAGTAGCTTTATGCAGATTACCTCCAATACCATCACAGGCCTTGATATAATCAACTAAATGTGCTTTCCCTCTAATAGGTTGCAGAGCAGCCTGGCAATCAGGATTAGCATTGTCGAAAGCTAATAACTGCAACGGTATTTCTTGAGCAGCTGAAACTGCAATCACCTTTTTAAAAGACTCCTGTAACCAAGCTATAAAGTCCACGTATGGTTCTTTTGGTCCCTGTTTTACAGCACTAAAGGAAGGGTATTGTTCTCCACCTGAAGTGATTTTTTCCCAAGCTCTAATGCACACTCCTCTAAGCTGTTCTATGGCAGCATCCTGCATGACCACTTGTGCCTCTAAATGAGCCCAGCCGCCAACCCCCAAAAGTTGGCCTGCAGTTATATTAATTTGAGGTTGGGCCTGGGTATTGCAAGCAGCTTGAATGGAAGCTTCATCTACCTACCAAGTTTTAAATTGTAAAAACTGAGCAGGAGTTAGACAAGCTCGAGTAAGAGCACCCCAGTCAGTAGGAATCATCCGACTGGAAACAGCCATATTCTTTAACAGTCCCATTACAAAAGGAGAACCTGGTCCATACTGATTAATAACTTGTTTAAATTCTTTGAGTAATTTAAAAGGAAAAGGCTCAAGTGTAGCTATAATATTTCCCTGTTGATCTGGGGTGATGTATTCTAACAGGGAACTGCCAAGCCTCTAAATCACCCTCTCTTCTAGCTTGCTGAATTCCTGCCCGAATAGAACTGAGAGCGGTCGCTTGAGGTACTGCTCAAACAGTCACTGGGGCAACTGCTTTTCTCCTGTTGTCCTCTGTAAAAGAAAGATCTGGAGGGTCAGGCCACTCTTTTTATTCAAAATAATAATGAGGGGGTGCAGAAGAGTAGGGATCAACCTCTCCCTCCTTTGCTGCTTTAGCTTTAGCTGGCAAACAAACCTGAACTGTAACCTCTTCTGTTACTTCATTATACTCTCCTTCCTCCTCATCATTAGTGTGAAAAGGTTCCAAGGTGGAATGAACGAGAGCCCACACTTGTCCCATTGTTACCCTGATGCTTCTGAACTTCCCTTCTTACTCACCACGGGGATTGTTTTAACAGTACTCAGGTGTCCTCCAGCTTAGTTTTCCACATTCTCCAACCATCGCTCCGGTGACCCTTTGACCTGGATTCGAGCCCCAAATTGGGCACCTCTTGCCAAAACCAGCTCGGTCAGGGATACCCTAACCTAGCGGCGCTACAGGAATTAAAGACACACACGCAGAAATATAGAGTGTGGAGTGGGAAATTAGGGGTCTCACAGCCTTCACAGCTGAGAGCCTCGAACAGAGATTTACCCACGTATTTATTAACAGCAAGCCAGTGATAAGCATTGCTTCTATAGATTATAGATTAACTAAAAGTATTCCTTATGGGAAATAAAGGGATGGGTTTGGCTAGTTATCTGCATCAGGAGCATGTCCTTAAGGCACAGATCACTCATGCTATTGTTTGTGGTTTAAGAACACCTTTAAGCAGTTTTCCACCCTGGGTGGGCTAGGTGTTCCTTGCCCTTATTCTGGTAAACCCACAGTCTTCCAGCGTGGGCATCATGGCCATCATGAACATGTCACAGTGCTGCAGAGATTTTGTTTATGGTCAGTTTTGGGGCCAGTTTATGGCCAGATTTTGGGGAGCCTGTTCCCAACAAGATGTATTTCGGTACTACTGCTAATACAAAACATTCTGAGAGGGGCTTGGGCAACTTCAACAGAAGCAAAACTCAACAATGAATAATACTATAGTAGAAAATTATGGCCAAAAACACTGTATTTTTAACCAGCAAGATCACTGGGGCATTATTATACAACATTAGGTGTTTTTCACAAAACTAGTCCCCATTCCCAAACAATAGATACTACATGCATTTGAATGACATTTTAGGAACAGTAAATATTCTTTTAAATACTGCAAGTTAAAAATTTTTTTCTGACAAAACTCCCTAAATACATACGTCTAGTAAGGCTTTCCAACAGGATGATGGGTGAGGAATCCAGCAAGGAGTTGCATTTAGAGAGTTCTTTGAGGAAAAGAAATCCACCAAAAATGTGTTTCAGTCAAATTAACCTGGACAAAGTTACATAGTATTATTCCAGCATTCTTTCCTGAACTTAAAAATGTTCTACTGACCAATACCTTCCTGTTTTTTCTGTCTACCAAAAGCTTATATAAAAGTCAGAATTTCTTCATCCAAGATCTGATTTTACCCAATAGATGTTTTCATAACATTTAAATGTCATTTGCTATTGGGTTGGAATCATATGGGGAAATGGAGAACACGGGATAGATAAGGAAGGCAAGGAGGAAATTAATATTTGAGCACCTACTATGTGCTAGGTGTGTATTCGCACTTTGAACGTATGATTCTAGAGGTGAGAGTGTTATTGAAAGGACAGTGATCGTTGGGAAGATAGCAGGAAATGGCTATTCTGTGAGAAAAACAAATGACAAGTTTAGGCTGTGTACTAAGTTATCTACTAAACAGCAGGTGTCTGGCTCCAAAAATGTCCAGCTAATCATATACAACTAAGCCATTTCTTTTGCTAATTTGATGGAACCAAAATGAAATCCCAAAGACACAGTTACCAGGACAGATCTATTAATGCTACATATGCTGGAAATATGTAGAGCTAGATAAACATTCAATATTACTAGTTTTATTTTTGTGTGTGTGTCTAACCAAAGAGATATCTTTGGAAGAAAATATTAATGTATACCAAACACACCTTATTTGTATCCACTGAGATGCTGATTACTAATTAAGTGGTTTTAAACCCTTATTTAATTTGAAGAAGAGCAGCAATATACATTACAATATTTGGGTACACTTTATTTTTGTATGGGTTAACATTCTGCTATATTTCATTTCATTCATTTTGAGAAACTTAAAACAAAGGGAAATCAAGGGTAATCGGTAGGTGATTTGAGGGAAATTTCCAACCAATATGTGAGTCTTGCATTATTTCATTATACAGCCCTTTCTTCCCATTATTTATTTATTCATTTATTTATTTTTGCAAATAAGTCATTTTGATCCAAATCCAGCATAGCGTTTCACCAATTCCTAACTTAAGATAACTAAAGTTTACAATCATGTGGTAGTATAAATTTTAAAATTACAATTCGTACACTTTGACAATCAAGATAGTGTGAAGTACAAAAAAGTAAATTGCCCTTTAGCTGAATTACCTTTTTAAAATAGGCCTGCTAGTTAATCTATCAAAAAAAAACAAAAACAAAAAACAAGTTTCACTTGTTCTTCAAATTCCTTTTGTAGTTGTCATCTGCTAGTAAACAACATATGCAGGTTCCTAAGATTTTTTTTTTCCAGTCTATTCATGACATTCAACAGAGCTCTTTCTATGGAAATGTTAAAAACAAAAACTTCTAGGAGATTTATTTACTTTTGAATGGGTGTGTTGTTTCCCTTTGTTTCAGATATGACGCACAAGCTTCTGAATCTAAGCTCTGTAAGGCATAGTAGAAACTTCCAATTTACAAATAAGGAATTCTCTGGGGTTTGGAACTGCCATGTCATGCAAAAAGGGAAAAATCATCTGTAAACTGGTACACTGCAATGTGTTAAGTGAGTCATGAAATGGCTGCTTGCCTTGGTGTGCTGAAGAAAGGTTTCTGTGTTTTATGTTTTTGTTTTTGAATAAGACATGCCCAAGTCACCATAAAACTCACCACAGGCCTCCATTACCTAAGCATCAACCATAGGAGGCCAGTGGCACACGCTTATAACGCTTGCAATCACAATATAATCTAAAGCGTGAGTAAACTTTGTTTTTATACAAAACTGAAAAGAATCCCATCCCACCCCTAGCCCCTTCAATAAAACCCCAAAGAAACAAAAAAGAAAATCCTTTAGTTTCGATTGACTAGTGTGGCTAAAATTAGGTTTCTATGCATCACTGCTGCCAGGATGATCAATTTTTTCCTTTCTCAAGAGAAGGGATCTTGTCATGCACCCTACAGGAACAGTGAAGCCACAAATCTCAATTCTACATAGCAAATTCCATCCCAATTTCATAAAGACAAATATAACAGTCTTTCCCTGTTTTGCTCAGCTTCTTCAAACTTTGAGATCAGGTTTAATTGACTATATCTACTATAGCTCTATTAAATAGAATATCTTGATTCCCTAAAACTGTGACACTTATGATCTTGTGATGAGGTTTTCTCTATACACACTGTAGGCCTTCAGATGTTGTTGTTTACTTTTTTTTTTTTCCTGCACCAAATTTAAGAATTCCTTTTCAGGCAAGCAGTGGTCTCTAGCTGTTGAAACACGTCCTTAGTGGATCACAATAGTTCTAAAACTGCCTTTCTAGTAAAGGCCATCAGAGAGGTAATACTAAACTGTGCATTTGCCAAATAAGAATATGAATTGTATAAAAGCTCATATTCCATTTCTAAATCAAATGGCGAAAGTTCTACAAAGTTGGTTTCCATGTTTGTATAAAAGCTCCGACTGATTTTATGTATTTTGCTATGAAATTACCTTTGGGTCTTATAATCAGTATACCTCTACTCAGGAATGTGCAAATGATTTTCCCTAGTCAGAAATAAACTGACAAATTCACATTCTCCTCTCTTAAAAAAGTAAATAAAATAACATTATTCAAAATGTGAATTAGCTATAGACATACAATATAATTACATAGATACATATCAATACAGCACATTCAATCTGTCAAAAAATTAATGATTACAAAGCCAGTATGGATGCTGCAATACCAAGAGAGATGTATGTACAATGATTAGAACATTTGTAATGCACTATACCTACAGGCAGTCAGTTTGTTAAATTACAGGTGTTTTCTGAGCAACGGAAAAAAAAAGTAACCTGTGTTGTTTGAGGCTGAGAGAATCAAGAATGAGAACATTTCATTACTGTTTGGTGGCTTGGTACTCATCTAACAGGCCATTAATATTCTCCCTTCTCCTTTATTATCCCAAAAAAGTGATTTATATGGAAGTTTAGACTAGTGCCAAATACCACTATAGTTAAAATGAAATCAGTTATCATGGCCTAAATCTAATGTCCCAGCAGCTTTAAACAACCATGATTTATTTTCTTAAATCAAATTTCAACTCAAGCTGCTTGACAGAAGCTTGTCAATACATGTGCTGTATTTCTTTGCATTTGTTGAAAAATTGCACATATAGAATTCCAAACATTTCTCCTAGTAAGTTCAGTTACACAAATACGTGTTTTATAGAACACCGAGAAGTTATTTTTGAGTTAAGTCCACAAATCTTCCGTAAGTTCAACCTAATCAGTTACCAGTTCAAGAAGATCTTGAAGGTAGTAAACTAGCAGGGACTTCAGATTTTGGAAATTAAAGGTGTCGGAATAATACTATCAACCAATGTTCCTGGCAGACTTAATTGAATTTAAAGAACCATTGAGAGTAAAACCGGTTTCAAATAAAGAGACACAAACAGATTTCCTGTTAAACCACACAGGATACTTTTTACATTGCCGGTTTGGACACTGAACATGGGACAGGGACGCTAACCATGTCATCTTAAGGACAAAGAAAAGAATGGACCATGAGAATCAAATTTACAGTTACCAACTGTTTGGCAATTGGCATTTCTGGTTCATTCTCAGCCAGCCATTTTAGGCTCCACAGTCTTACTCTCTTAGATATTTTAAGATACCAGCTTTTATTTTTTAAGTTCTTATTCATTTTATTTGACAAAAAGTCAGCTTTGGCAACACATACCCATAATAAAAGTCATTTTAAAATTGTGGCACAAACACCAAGGAAAAAAAAGAAAGGAAAAGCTTGAACAACAACAACAAAAATATTAAGAACAACCTATAAAAAGTTTCTGGGTAGCAGCCATTAGGGTAATGTAGTGTCTGTTGGCATCTTTTTTGGCATCTGCAATTGAAAGAGAGGGTGAAAAAAAGAAAGAGAAGCAAAGAAGGGAGGAAAGACAATGGCACATGGCATTTCAAAAGAAAGGACTCCTGTGTGTCTTTGATCCTGCCTTCTGCACACTTCTCTGAGCAATCAAGCTATGGCTGAATGTAAACATCTAAAAGAAATGACACTTAACGGCTAGACAGGCATCCATTGTCCCAGTCCAAAGTGAGACAAGACAGTATACTCTATTAAAAAAGAAACTATGTGTGTATCCAGAGCAACACATTTAAAACCATAGTATTAATACATATAATCCTTCAGCAAAAACTACAAACTTAACTTAAGCTGATGATGGCTTAAATCGAACAATGTGTCCTGACTGTATCAGTGGGGAGAAAAACTTGACCAAGAATGGATCTAGGAGAAAGCCCATTGTAACCTGGGGAAAAAATCAGGAGGGAGGTATGAATTGGGGGGCGGGGAAAAAGGGAAATCAGCTTTGTTTTGCTCCATAGAAAAGAAAAAGAGAGAAACAGAGAGAGAGAGAGAGAGAGAGAAAGCCTTATCGCTGTGAGTGCATGACTGAGAATTTAAAATACACTGAGTCACAAGGTTTTGCCTAAAAAAAAAGATAGAGAGGAAATGTGCTGGGACTGTACTTCAGCATCCTCTGTATTTCCTCTGAATAGTTTAAATAAAATCATAATATTTACCATAAACTCTGTGGACATGCTCACACAGAGTCCAGGAAAGCAATAAATTAGTATTATGCAAATTGTTTTCCACAGAAATACAGTCCTTGTATATCTTCAATAGGCCACCAGGGAAGGGCAGGGCGTGTGTCTAGGAGGCACAATTAGACCAGATTGTACTACTTCAGTTTCAACTGAAGGATGATGTCCTTGACGGCAGCAAAGACAAAGCGGATATTCTCGGTGTCTGTGGCGCATGTGAAGTGGGAGTAGATAATTTTGTCACTGTCTGGGTTCAGGTCCACGAACATCTTCAGAAGGAATTCCAGGGCTGCCTGAGCACCTCTCTGGAGTCCATCATATTCTGGGAAGTAGTCGACTAGATGGGAATACATGATTTCCTCCTCTAGAAGATCTTTCATGTTTAAGAACAGAATAACCTAGGAGTTCTGGAACCAGGGATATGTGATAATTGTTCTAAAGAGAGCCTTCCTTTCCTCCATTCGGTTCTCATTGTCTGACTCCACGAGAACTTGATCATATTCACTAAGCGCTATTGGAAACATGATAGAGGTGACATTCTCAAAGCAGTATATCCATTATCTTCTCTCTGACTTTGGATCCCCGACATTGACCATTCTGAAAATGACACTTTGTAAATCAAAGGGTTATTCGATGATCCCTGCGGTGGGGACTCGAACTCTAAGCACATCTTCTCGCGTAGGCAGGTAGGCAGGGTCAGCTACGCGTCCAAGTCATTGAGTTAGTATTTGGTAGAGTCAGATAATTGATATTCTCGTCTATCATAGCATTCCTGGATTCCAGGATCATTCCATAAACTCTTTATTGCACCTACATGTGGATTCTCAAAAGCAGACACTTTCTCCACATCAACTTCTCGAACTAATTGTGCATGAGCCTTATCGTGCTCATACTTGTACTGGATCTTGAGTGTGTCCATGGCTCTGATCATGGCCTGCATGGCCGTGAAGATGTTCTGATAAACCAGCTTGGTGAAGCCCCTTTTATCTTCATTAGAGTATCTTGACCCATGGATGATTCTCATCTGGTTGATAAATGTACTCTTGCCACTCTCTCCTGTCCTGAGCAGCAGCAGCTTGAGCTCCCGGCGGGCGACCGCTTGTCCCTGCGGAGCTGCCGCTCCATCTGGTAGTTGATCCGCCGGGCTTCCTTGGCTTCCTTGGCCTCCTCGCTCAGGCAGCACGCCTTGACGGACTCCAGAGTCATTCTTTCAACGTGCCTCCGCTGCAGCCCTGCCGGGACCCCCTGCTCACAGCGCGCACACACACCCTCCCGCACTCGCTCCCCCGTGGCAGCGGTGGCCACCGAGCCCCAGCTGCCCGGGCGCGCATCCGGGACGAGCTCCGGGAACCGCCGCGGGGGCGGCGGCCACGGCTGGGGCCACCAGGTGGGCAGTGGGCGCGGCGGGAGCGGATGGCCTGGGCCGACGGGAGAAGCGAGGCGGGCGCGGGAGGCAGGAGCTGGCTCGGGAGGCAGGCCCAGTTCGGCGGGCCGGGGCGCGTGAGAGAAGGCCGCCGCTATAGGCTTCGCTCAGACGCCCTCGCCTCTTTCCCCGGGAACTGGCGGCCAGCCTCGCCCCACTAGCCGCCGCCGCCGCCAGCGAGGCTCCCCCACGCCGTGTGCCTGGCGGCGAGAGCTCATCCATTGGGATATCCCCGCAGCGAGCGGCCGCCGACTGCTCCCCGCGCCAGGCGCGCCGGCTCCTCGCCGCCGCCTGACTGGGCTCCCGGGCGCCCTAGGCCCTGTTCACGCCCACTGCCCGGCTTGCTCGCAGACTCGGTTCCCCTGATTTGGGGTTCTTAGTGCTCAGTTTTAACATTTCTCATTCCCATGTACAAGGTGAGGGTTAAAGTTTGATTTTTTGGGTTGCTCAAATACTGTCCCAAGAGAAAATTCTGTGTATAAGTGGCGTATTAAAGCAATGCTTCCGGCAGAAAGGGGCAATGGAGTTTGGGATGGAGGAAGGAAAGGCAAATTACTCAAACTGTGTGATTCCATGCACAGAATCCTGTGTTTAACAGCTCACACCATGCACTTGGAGGGGGATAAGGAGGCTGGGTTCTCCTGCGGCCTTGAAAGGGACTCTCAGGACAGCAGTAGTGGGAACAGAGCAGAGTTCAGAGAGCAAACAGGCGATGGGGACCAGAAGGGCCTGACAGGGTGGCAGCCCATGGGACACAGAGGTAAGACCAGACAAAGGTGACAGCGGCTTCTGAAGAGAACAGATAGGAAAGAGAAAAGCAGTGGGGGAAGGAGCTGTCATCATAGGCAGGGAAATAAGGAGCGAGTGCAGCTAAGAGCCGTAGATGTGATTACCTTCGTACCCTAAGCTTGCAGGCCAGGGAATCTGCATGCCAGTCTCCACTTGCTGAACGGCAGTTTTCTTTTGATCATCTTTGGTTTTAGGACACTTGAGGCACGAATGTGGCCAATGACTTGATACCCATGTGTGTTGTCAGCTGAGCCTTCAAGAGCCTCACCTTCCAGTTGGGGAGGGTTCTTCATTCCGAGGGAAGGCTCTAAACCCAGCTCTGAAAATGAAACCACACCCAACAGGGTTCACTGTTATCCATGATCTTACTGTGACTTTCTCTTCCACCCAAGAGGATCATCAGAGAAGGAAAGTGGCCTTGAACAAGAAAGTCCAAGGGGTAAAGGGAAGCCAAGAAAGACATTTTGGTATTTTCTGTATTGTTGATTTTTCATGCATCACCCAGTAATGACAAGATTGCCAGGAGGAAAAGGTGATCCCAACTGACAAACATATTTAAAAAACTTAGGATTAATAAACACAAATAACTTCCAGGTAGACAAGGCAAAGGCAAGGAAATCACACTGGATACAGGCTGTGTTCTGGGAGGGAGGAGATTCTAAAATCAACATTAAATGAACATGTGAGAGAGGAGAATTGGATACAGTAAACATGGGATATTGATGAAATGATCATATAGATATGTATATAGCATATATCTACATTTTATTAAAAACATATGCCAAATATGCATAATGCATATGACAAACGACATAAATACATATATATAAAAATCTATTGGAAGAAAGTATTACATAGGGATGTGGAGGATGTTGAATTAACATTATAGTCACTACCATTATAATCTGGTCCATTGAAATTGGAAAAAAATTTAGAAATATAAGATGAATGAGAGAGGGAAGACATGCTGAGAAACAAATGCCCTATTAGACAGCAGGGAGAAGTCACCAGGTAAAGGAGAATGAAACAAAAGGCATTCACTCTGTCCTCTTGCCTGGAGCCTGGTTAGTGCTCTGGACTCCTGGGGAAGCCAGCAGGTGAGAGTGTTGGAGCCAGCAGGGTGAGTCCTGACTGGGAATCCATGGAGAAGCAAAAGAGACATCAGTGGGAAGAAATCAGTTTAAATACTCGAAGTTATGAGGGCACATGTCAGGGACTACGCATCCCCCGACACTCACTGAGCGTCTTCCGTGTGTCCTCTCCAGGGACACAGATGGTGCTCGTTACCTCACGTGACCCTCCCTCCTGAGGACTTGGGTCTCCTTATTCCTCAGCTGGGGGCATCACTTGACAGATGAGCATCAGGCAGCCCCAGGGGCTCCAGGAGGAGATATTGAGTAGGACGGAGAGTAGGATGAACACGACCCAGGGTTTTAAGGAAATCTGAGCAGAAGTGGATCCCTGTGAGAGGAAAATGGAGTACATGGCCGTGGACATGAGTGGAGATGATGAACTAAATGGAGTTTCATAAAAGAGACAGATTTATACCCTTTCAATGAGAAGGTTGTCCTTTTATTTCAAAACAAGGGGAGAAAACATAGCAAGAAGCAGGAGACTCACTTATGGGCCCAGGATTTGCACTTTTACTGAATGTGCCTAATAGGTTGTTACTGAAAATGCTCGATAGGGGAAAATTGACTTAAAAAGGGATGCTGACGGAGAGGAAGAAAACTGACAAAAGAGACTTTCTAAGAAAACACAGGAAGGGGGTCCCTAGAAAGTAGAGATCCTAACAGTTACTCCTCCTCAGATGAAACTGCATGTGAAGTCACTTCCTAAGTGCTAATTTACCAGAAAGGTAACAGAATTAGATAACATGTATTCATAGATTTATTGAGTAATTTTTATTGAATTAGCCATTTGGAAATTATCATAATTAATGCTATCAACAATGATTGAATGTAGATATTATTTTTCAGGTCTCTCAGATGACAGAACTGAGATGTAAATGCCAACACCACAAATGACTTGGCCGAGGTGAATAATGAGTAAGGGTTAAACCCAGGACCTGAGAGCAGATTTGATCCTAAACCCCAGGCTCTTGCTCACCTCACTGGGCTGCAACATTGTGGATTTCTACTTGACTCTGAGGGAGCACGAAGAGACCCCATTGCCTCCTCCCCTCACAGCACCATGACCACCAACATCTGGATTAGAGCTTCGTGGTCCCCTTTCCTTCCCTACCTTGGAGGGGCCATTGCTTCCCAGGACCAGCGTTGGCTGTGAAGCTGCAGGTGGCGGAGGAAACGCCTCACCTGGCTAAGCCATAGCCACAGTCAAACCCTTGATCCAGCTGCAGTCGCAGACAATTGGGCACCAGGGTTCTCGGCTCGGGCTGTGCCTGTGAAGCCTCCACCTCTGACAGGTGGTGGCTCAAGTCTCCGCTCCAAGGTCTGTGGGGACAGGCCGCCTGGGTGGGAGCTGAAAGGAGAAGGGGTTTCAGTAGGAACACTCTCACTTTTCCCTTTGTTAATCAAGTCCAGAACACCCATCTCTGGTGTCCCTGCCTCTGAGGTGAGCCACCCAGTGGCCCAGGCCACAAAGACAGACATCATGTAAATGGGTGATGTCACTTCCTGTCTGTGCCTGGGGATGCTGGGATGGAAGGTACCCAGGCTGGATGTCACTGAAGTGAAAAACCCCCACTTCAGCCCAGAGGGCTTTGGATTGGCTAACAAGGCCATGCCGATTATTCTGTTATTATTAATCTCCATCCTGCAGCCTAGAAAGAATGTTCTGGAGAGCCTTCAGAGCATAGAAAATGCTGTTTTTCTCAACACACAGGAGTATAAGAACAGGGAGGACTCAGAGCCTCTAGGTTTGGGGATGGAACCACAGAAAAGGGTTTTGGGACACTGTAGACCAGCAGTCTCCAAACTTTTGTGCCCCAGGGACTGGTTTCGTGGAAGACAATTTTTCCTTGGTCCAGGGGTGGGGGATGTGAAAAGAGGGAAGGATCATTTCTGAATGAAACTGTCACACCTCAGATCATCAGACATTAATTAGGTTCTCATAAGGACAGCACAACCTAGATCCCTTTCATGCACAGTTCACAATAGGGATTGTGCTTCTATGAGAATCTAATGCCACTGCTGATCTGACAGGAGGCGGGGCTCAGGCTGGAATGCTGGCTTGCCAGCTGCTCATATTCTGCTGTGTGTGGCCTGGTGCCTAACAGGCCCAGGACAGGTAGCTGACCACAGTCCCGGGAGCTTGGGGCCCCCTGCAATAGACCAAATACTACATGAGGCGAACTTTTTAGGGTGCTGGAACATTTTGAATTTCCATTGCCTATAATGGTTTTGCCACCTACCCACACATATACATCTTGTTGCCATATAGTGGGTGTCCGCAGCCATAAGCAATGTTGTAGAGGGACCAGTCCCCTCACGGACACTTACGGGCCACAGGTATCACCGATCAGTGTGTGTGGTTCTATAGGGAGATAACACCGAGCACAGTCCTCATCTTACCCGCTCCTCCAGTGGGGCCCGGGCAGCACCCCTCAGAAAAATTATATTTCCACAGGAAGAGGAAATCACACTCCCAGAAAGTGGACTAAATGCATTGTGATTTGCAGAGGTTTTCTTTTTCTTTTTTTTTTCCAAGACCGAATCTCGCTCTGTCGCCCAGGCTGGAGTGCAGTGGCGCCATCTCGGCTCACTGCAACGCGATTCTCCTTCCTCAGCCTCCCAAGTACCTGGGATTACACAGACGCACCGCCCCCTCCAGTTAATTTTTGTAGATTTTTAGTAGAGATGGGGTTTCACCATGTTGGCCAGGGTGGTCTCGAACTCCTGACCTCAGGTAATCCGTCCGCCTTGGCCTTCTAAGTGCTGGGATTACAAGCGTGAGTCACCACGCCCGGTGGCTTTTTAAGATGTTTGGAAGAGTTCAGCTGTGAGGCCATCTGGTCCTGAGCTTCTCTTTGTTGGGAGGTTCTTCAGTCCTTTTGCTTGTTATTGGTCGTTCAGGCTTTCGGTTTCTTCTTGATTCAATCCTGGTAGGATGTATGTTTCTAAGAATTTATCCATTTACTCTAGGTTATCCAGTTTGACGGTATAGAGCTGTTAATAATAGTTTCTTATGATCCTTTTTACTTGTGAAGCTTCTGTTTTAATGCCTCCACTTTCATTTCAGATGTTATTTATTTGAGTCTTCTGTATTTTTTTCTTAGTTATTTTAGCCAAGTGCTTGTTAATTTTACTTTTTCCAGAAAAACAACTTGGGTGTGAGAGGCCTACGTTGGATCACTGGCGGCCAGTAGCTCCCAATCAGCCTGGGAAGAATAGTATGACGTTGTCTCTCCTAAAAAGAGAAAGAAAGAGAAAGCAAAAGAAAAAGGAAAAGGAAACAAAAAACAAAAAACCAACAACTCAGGTTTATTTTTCTGTAGTATTTCTATTCTTCAGTTGATTGACTTTTGCATTGATTTTTGTTTCCTTTCTTTAGTGAATTTTGAATTTGTTTTGTTGTTGTTTTTTCCTGGTTTCTTGAGGTGTAATGGTGTAATGTATATTTGAAGTCTTTCTTCTTTTTTAATGTATGCATTTATGGTTGTAAACTTGACTCTTAGAGCTATTTTTGCTGTTCCAAAGATTTTGTTATGTTTGCTTTCACTGTTGTTTGCCTCAATATATTTTCAAATTTCCCTTTTGATTTGTTCTTTGATCAATCAGTTGTTCAGAGGCATGTTGTTTAATTTCCATGTATTGTTGAATTTTCCAGTTTTCCTTGTGTAGTTAATTTTTAGTTTCATACCATTGTGGTCAGAAAAGATAACTGATCAGATGGGAATCATTGTTAATTTATCTGAGATGTACTTTTCATTATTTTAATTGATGTATAATAGTTGTTCACATTTTGGGGATATACGTGATATTTTGGTAAATGTATACAATTTGTAATGATCAAATCAGTGTGAGTAGTATATCTGTCACCTGAAAACTTTATCTTTTCTTTATGTTAGGAATATCCCATTTCTTCTCTTCTAGTTATTTAAAAATATTCAGTAACTTATTTTGAATTATATTCTCCCTAATATACTATCAAATACTAGAACTTATTCCTTCTATTTAACTATATTTTATATGCATTAACCAGTATCTTTTCTTTCTTCTCCCCTATCTCCTTCACAGCCTCTGGTAACCACTAATTTTTCTATGTGAAATGACACATGAATTCAATTTTTTCTACTGTTTATTTTTATATGGTTACAAATATGTCACATCCATTGCTTAAAAAGAAAATTCTCAATCATTTGTTGAAATATTATGCATCATTTTTAAATACATTGCTTTTCCAATATTTTCAAAAATCGGTTCTCAATATATGTATTAGTTTATATTTGGACTCTATTTTCTTTTGATCTATTTAATTGATCACATGCCAAAGCATTCTGTTGTGGCCATTACAACTCTATGATTGTTCTTTATATCAGGTGGAGCTAGCCCTCCAATTTTGTTCTTCGTTATATAGGCATTTTGGTTATGCCAGTTCATCTTAATTTTAGAATCAGCTGACCATTTTCTACCAATGATGCATGCTGAAATTTTGAGTTGGATTGCATTGAATTCATAGATCAAATTAGGGGAAACGAACATCTCAACAATATTCTTACACATGAACAAGCAATATTTTTCTA